TTAACGTCTCTTTTTTGTCATTTTTGGGTCTTTTCTGTTATTTAATGTCTCCTCTTTTGCTATTTTGGGGTCTTTTTTGTTATTTAGTGTCTACTCTTTTGTTATTTTTCGGGTCTTTTCTGTTATTTAACGTCTTTTTTTTGTTATTTTTTGGTCTTTTCTGTTCTTTAATTTGTCCTTATTTGTTATTTTTGGGTCTTTTCTGTTCTTTAATGTCTCTTTTTCTATTTTTGCATCTTTTTGGTTATTTAACGTCTCTTTTTTGTCATTTTTGGGTCTTTTCCGTTATTTAACGTCTCTTTTTTGTCATTTTTGGGTCTTTTCTGTTATTTAGTGTCTCCTCTTTTGTTCTTTTTGGGTATTTTCTGTTCTTTAATGTTTCCTTATTTGTCATTTTTGGGTCTTTTCTGTTATTTAATGTCTCCTTTTGCTATTTTTCTGGCTTTTCTGTTATTTACCGTCTCTTTTTTGTGGTTTTTGGGTCTTTTCTGTTATTTAATGTCTCCTTATTTGTCATTTTTGGGTCTTTTCTGTTATTTAACGTCTCTTTTTTGTCATTTTTGGGTCTTTTCTGTTCTTTAATTTGTCTTTATTTGTTATTTTTGGGTCTTTTCTGTTCTTTAATGTCTCTTTTTCTATTTTTGCATCTTTTTGGTTATTTAACGTCTCTTTTTTGTCATTTTTGGGTCTTTTCCGTTATTTAACGTCTCTTTTTTGTCATTTTTTGGTCTTTTCTGTTATTCAGTGTCTCCTCTTTAGTTCTTTTTCGTTTCAAACTGCCGTATTTGGTCTCCAGCCCTCGGTTTCTGACCTGTTTCCCCCCTTAGACAGCATCACCATCACCCATAAGGACTCGCGGTGGGTCGGTGCCTGGTGGCTGGGCTTCATCGTGACGGGAACGGTCATCCTTCTGTCCAGCATCCCCTTCTTCTTCCTGCCCAAGTCCCTGCCCAAACAGGGCCAGAAACGGGGGATTAATAAGGCCACGGAGCTGACGGCCGTCTCCGAGCAGGAGGGGTTCCTCCCCGAGGAGGAGAAGGAGAAGGAGGACAAGGAGGAGAAGGAGGAGAAGGCCGTCTCCGTCCAGGAGATGGTCAAAGGTACAGGACCGTCTCAGAAAATTAGAATATTGTGATAAAGTTCTTTAGAAATAACGAAAAAGAAAAGACCCAGTTACAAAAAAGACCCAAAAATAACAAAAAAGAGATGTTAATCAAAAGAAAAGATAAAAAAATAACAAATAAGGACATATTAAATAACAGAAAAGACCCAAAAATAACAAAAAAGTTACTTTAAATAACAGAAAAGACCCCAAAATAACAAATAAGGACACATTAAATAACAGAAAAGACCCAAAAATAACAAAAAAGAGATGTTAGATAACGGAAAAGACACAAAAATAACAAATAAGGACACATTAAATAACAGAAAAGACCCAAAATAACAAAAAAGAGATGTTTAATAACAGAATAGACCCGAAAATAACAAATAAGGACATATTAAAGAACAGAAAAGACCCAAAACCACAAAAAAAGAGACGTACATAACAGAAAAGACCCAAAAATAACAAATAAGGACACATTAAATGACAGAAAAGACCCCAAAAATAACAATGAGACATTAAATAACCAAAAAGATGACAAAATAGCAAAAGGACGGCGATAAGGCCACGGAGCTGGCGGGCGTCTCCGAGCAGGAGGGGTTCCTCCCCGAGGAGGAGAAGGAGAAGGAGGACAAGGAGGAGAAGGAGGAGAAGGCCGTCTCCGTCCAGGAGATGGTCAAAGGTAAACGGGGAGTTAGAGAGATGATCGAAACAGGGAAAAGTCGAATGAGGTCCAACTGAGCCGCTCTGCTCAGACCATAAAACCCCAAATGTCAATGAAATCAGTCTGTTTCTGATCCTGAACTCCTGTTTCTGCTTCTGTCTGAACATCTGCTGAACAGAGCTCATTCAGGGAAACCAGAGCTCATTCTGGAGGAGAAAAGCAGGGATTCAAAGAGTATATCTGAGATATTCTGATTTTTTGTGATTTATTTTAGTCATTTATCTTATTCCAGGCTGATATTAGTGGGATTATTTGATATTATTGAGGAAAAAAGCTGAAATTCAAGGTTTAAACTGGAGATATTCCGATTTATTGTGATTTATTTTAGTCATTTATCTGATTTCCAAATTAATTTTGTGGGATTATTTCACCATTCTTGTGGAAAAACTAAATAAACTTAAAAGGATCTTTTCATCCTTTTTGAGTAAAATTTGCTCATATTTAAAGTGTAAATACATAAAATGCTGCACAGCTCTGAGTTCCAGCTTTTAGTCGACTGGTTTCAGCTCCTCAGACAAAGTTTCTTCATCTCTGGATGCTGAACAGAGCTGATCCAGGAGGAGAACCTCATTCTGGAGGAGAAAAGCAGAACTCTGGTTCTCTGGACTCTGGTTGGATCAGAGGCTCAGATCCAGAAAAAACAGATTATATGGAGCCCTTTCTGTCATTTTGGGCAGTGAAATGGATGAAAACCAGGAGGTTAAAGCTTTAAACTGGAGCTGGAACCTCTATTTTGTGTTAAAATAGACTTCTGTCAGAGTTTAACCAGCAGAACAGGCAGAAACTCAGTCAGGACTTAGTGCTGTTTTGGGTAAAACTGACCCAACAACAATGGGAGCTTTTGCCTTTTTCTTCAGGTTTACGCTAAAAAACCACAAGTTTATGCAACACTCGAAGCTTCAGCCACGACTTCTTACCACGTTTTTGTTCCGTTTCCTCTCCAGACTTCGTTCCCTCCCTGAGGAGGCTCTTCAGGAACAGCATCTTCTCCATGATGATCCTCACATACCTGGTGTCCGTTAACGGCTTCATCGGCATGATCACCTTCAAGCCCAAATTCATGGAGCAGATCTACGGGCAGTCGGCCTCCAAGGCCATCTTCCTCATCGGTAGGGAATGTTAATACATATAAGGGTTAAGGGGACTTAAAAAGACCTGAAAATAACAAAGAAGGAGACATTAGATAACTGAAAAGAGACAAAAATAACAAAAATGGAATTTAAATAACAGAAAAGACCAAAAAATAACAAAAAATTCGACATTAAATGACAGAAAAGACCCAAAAATAAGAAATGAATTTATATTATATACAGAAAAGACCCAAAAAACAACAAAACTGAATATATTAGATAACAGAAAAGACCCAAAAATTAACAAAAAAGGAGACATTAAATAACAGAAAAGACCCCAAAATAACAAAACAGAATACATTAAATGACAGAATAGACCCAAAAACTAACAAAAAAAGAGACTTTAAATAACAGAAAATACCCCAAAATAGCTAAAAAGTACTCATTAAACATCAGAAAAGACTACAATAAGAAAATTGAGATTTTAACCATCTACATTTCTGCATCCAGCAGACACTTTCAGACGAACATAAAGAGGCTTTGGCTGGAACAATGCTGTTGAATACATGAATACATTAAATAACAGAAAATAGCGAAAAATAACTAAAAAATGAGACATTAGATAACAGAAAAGACCCAAAAATAACAAAACAGAATACATTAAGTAACAGAAAATACCCAAAAATAACAAAACAGAATACATTAAGTAACAGAAAATACCAAAAAATTAGACATTAAATAACAGAAAAGACACAAAAATAACAAAACAGAATACATTAAATGACAGAAAAGACCCAAAAACTAACTAAAAATGAGACTTTGAATAACAGAAATGACCCCAAAATCACTAAAAAGTCCACATTACATCAGAAAAGACTCAAATAAAAGAAATAGAGATTTTAACCATCTAGATTTCTGCTTCCAGCAGAGGCTTTCAGACGAACATAAAGAGGCTTTGGCTGGAACAATGCTGTTGAATACATGAATACATTAAATAACAGAAAATAACTAAAAATAACTAAAAAATTAGACATTAAATAACAGAAAAGACCCAAAATAACAAAAAATGAGACATTAGATAACAGAAAAGACCCAAAAATAACAAAAC